AAATTTTTAAAAATCAGAAATAAGACATGCATAAAAATTTAGCATACACCTATGACAGCTATTTGAATCTCACTGCAGCTACTCTTCAGTTTTCATCAGTGTAGCCCTGACTTCTTTAGTCCTATTTTCATATATTATTTATTATTTATTCTGTGGCTCCTTTTCGGGGGCCAGTAATTGACAGTCCAATTGTTTGAGTTGCCTTTGCAAATGGGCTAATAAGTTTTAACAAACAACTTCTCCAATTATAGTACGTCATATCTCTTCAGCGCATAATTTTATAATCGCCTATCATCCCCACACTCAGAAATAGCCACTGTTAACATGTTGGTGTATGGTATATATACAATATAATTACATTTTACATTGTGCTTTATGTCTTATTTTTCTACTTAATGTATCATGAGCATTTTCTCAAATCAATACATCTTTGGGGTTTCCTATATAAATTAGAATAAAATCCAAAGTCCTCACCTTGGCCTACAAGCCCCAGCGTGATCTCTCCCAAGCCTCCTTGTCTAACTTCTTCCACTTCACACCTTATTGACTGAGCTCCAGGCACATGGGCCTTCTTGCTGGTCCTTGGGCATTGCCTCAGGACCTTTGCACTTACTGCATTCTCCTTCTGGAACCCCTTTCTTCAGATTTTCAAAAAGCTCACTCCCTCATTTCATTCATGTCTCACCTTCTAACAGGTTAGCACCTTACGCAAAGTAGTATCCACTGTCAACTCCCTTGCTCTGCTTTGTTATTTATCTCAGCACTTACCACTACTTCCTGCTATATTACGTAGTTATTCATTGTTATGGCCTATTTTCCCCAGAAGAGTATAAGTTCCACAAAGGCAGGGACTTTGTCTTGTTCACTGTTTTATTCCCTGATATTAGGTTTTAAATTGGTTGAGTGAATGAATGAATTTTGCTCTGATCTGTATTTCATGACTGCACAGAACTCTTTTGCACAGATGTTTCTTAACATATTTATTTAAATATATTTAATATGTTTAGCTAATCTTCTGGGATATTATAAATTGTGCTGCAATGAAATACTTAAATATGTTCTCTTAAATACAGTACTTTTTAATTGTTTCTTCCAAGTTAAATTAGGTGTAGCAGCTTCCTAGCCGTGCCCCCTTCCTCTTTTCCCTCCACCCACAGTGCACACCACAGACTTAAGTCCAAACTCAGAATGTTGGTGTGTCCCTGTTTTACTTTACCACTGTGATTTCCCATGGCTGTTCAGAAATGTACTTGGCCCAGGTTGTCCCTCCTATCAGTTCCTGTCATCGTGTTTTGACACGTTACCTCTCACAGAATGTATTCCTATTTCTTTGCCTAAAATGCACCCATCTTCCGAGTCCCTCACCCACCCTTGATTCCATCATGCCTTCCTCCAGTCTAGTCTGCACGACCTCTCACGGCTCTGAGTTTTTCTGGCACTGCCTGTGTGTGTCATCGTTCCTGACCATGTTCTGTTGCTATCATGCTTTAGTTACAATCACATTAGCTGCAATTTCCTAAAGCACAAAAACTGGTTTTTCTCCTTTTGTTTTTCAAAGTCCCATGCAGTCCTAGCCACAAAATAATAAATATTTTTAAATTTAACTGTTTACCAAAGTCAAAACATTTATGGAAAATGAGATAGCTTTTTAAGGGAAAAAATAACATTATTCATTTTTGTTGTCCCTATATTTTCTTTGCACATTATTTACACACTATCCTGCCATAAAGAATTTTAATTCTTAAATTCCTATTTGCAATCCTTGATCAACCACCTTACAAAAGCTTATTTCTGACAATTTTGTTGTTGTTTTAGACTTTGGCTTGTCTTAAGATAACATTATTAAGTATATTTAAAAGAGCATTTTCTTTAGAGATTATTATAAAATCACGATGTGGTGGTATCTGAGTTATATAGATTTTTTTTTTTTTTGGTTTTTATGTAATGTTTATGGGGCACTAGGAAAAATCATGAAGTGTACCTTTCCTTTTGTCCAAACATTTTCATACATGAGAAATCAAGTTAAAATGAACAAAGAGGGCTGTCATGAAAGAAAAAAAAATTCAAAAACGGTGCAGCATGTGGCCTGAGGGATGTGTGTGCAGAGGTGGGGGAGGACGCTTTCTCTCCCTAGGATGCTGCCAGGAACTCCAGGCTGAGCGCTCAGGGAGGAGCTTGAGCAAGGAATTCTGCAAGAATTATTCTGCAGGAAATACTAAAGCTGGGTCCGCTAGTCACATGCCTTGGCTTTTTGATCTCAATAAACTACACTATTATGCTGAAATCTCAGGTCTTTTTCTCCACCCCCACGTGCTTGCTGGTTGTCTGATCTCGGAATCCTCCCAAGCACACCTAGGGCAGCCCGGCAAAAATGCCCACTCACCATCTTCCTCGTGGAGAAGACCCATGTGCGCATGCGCCTCAGCTTCTTTCTTCCCACCGTCAATTTTGATCAGTTGAGCAACGTTGAAACATCGTTCATAGAAGTGGTTCCTCACCCACTTATCTTCAGAATTATTGAAGTAACAGGCCAGAGCATACAAGTTTTTATATACATCTTCAAAGTATCCTTCAAAGATAGAAAAACATCATTAACTGCGATATAAAGATGTCTCATGGCAATCTTTTTGAATGGCAAACCAATATCATAACATTTATTGCCTATTTTTCCTGAAAAGTGTGA